GGCCACCGCCCACCCTTCCTGTCCTGCGCCCTGCACTTTTCCTCTAGACAAGGACGCTTGGAGAAAGCTTTGGTGTCGCCCAGAGCTCACAACATCCACAGGCAGAGACGAGCCCGCTCCTTGGGCCTGACCCATGCGGCTCCCGCCAGCTGCAGCACGTGGTCCTTCCCGAGGCGCTGGTGACCCTGCTGCTGCCACTAGCCAGCAACTGACACTCACTTCCTTTTTAAAATCCGGGCAGTCCTGAGTGCCACATGTACATCTACCTCTAAAACGGTAGAAAAGCAGAAAAGGAAAGAAAACAGAAAAAAGTCCGAGACTTACTTAAAATAGATCTGAGAGGGCCGTGTTGGCACACAACTGCCATCCCAGTGGCACAGGACCTCGGGAGGCTGAGGCAAGAGGCTCGCTGAAAGTTCAAGGCCAGTCTGGGCTACCCGTAACGCAAAAAAAATCCAAAGGACAGAAGAAAGATATTTCCTGCACTGTTATATGTAACACAGGAAAAAGCTAAGTGGAAAATAGTGCATTTCCCCGAAAATAAGACCTAACTGGAAAATAATCAGCTTTGAAAACTGGAGCTCAGATCTGCCAGCCCCATCCCCTGGCCTCACCTGCCTGACAGAGCGAGTTAGGGCTCAGGGAAGTGGAACTGTGCCGCAGGACACTGGCCGTCACCATGGTAACGACCCACTTCTTTTCCGGTTAGGTCTTATTTTCAGGGAAACCCGGTGCTACAAAATACAGCGCAAATGTCTCTCGTGTGCTGAGCGTAACACTGAACAGTGCGAATTACTGTTCTGCTGGGGTGCGTCCAAGGGATCCAGCTCTGGGCCTGGAGCCTGAACCTCACACCCCCTTTACCCCAGGTTGGTGTGGGTGCAGGATTGAGGCACCCTCGGCCACTCGTGGCTCTGCCCGTGTGACCCCCACGGTGTCACAGGCGCCCAGAAGACGGCAGCTGCCGAGGAGACAGCGGACCGCACATCTGGCTCGTGTCCCCCAGCTTCTCCGCCAGTGTGTGACCACAGGGAAGTCTCGTGATCTCCCCAAGCCCCAGAGTCTCATCCAGCTGCACAGAACAAGGCCAGTGCCTAGGATCCCTGAGTGGCATAGGGTCCGCAGCCCCTGGCCCAGCCCGGCCTGAACCACGCAAACCACCTCGTGTCCCAGAGACACTCTGGGGCCTCCTGCACCACCCCTCACACCAGTGCCCCCCGTCTTTGGGTCTTTCCACTGAGCCCTAGCTCTATTTTATTTTGAGCACAGCTTTGTTGATGTCACTAGGTTGCTGGCCCTAGGCTTGGACTTTCGATCCTCCTGCCTCAGCCTCCCAGAGTACTGGGTTACAGGTGTGCACCACCCACCCGGATGACCCTTGCCCTTTGGTTGGAAAGCTCCTATCTATCCCATGAAGCCCAGCTGAGATGTCTCATCTGTGAAATTCTCCTGCCCCCACATTTCAAGCGCTCTCTCCCTCATGTACCCAGCTGTACCACACAATCGTCCCCTACAAACTGAGCCTGTCCTAGGCCTCGCCTCATACATAGGAATGGCCCTTAATAACAGCTGCACCAGGCACCCATTGAGGCCCCGTCTGCATCCCCAGGTCTCGAAGCTGAGCCTCTAAGAGCTACGCTGGGTCTGGGTCATGTAGCTGAAGAGGGATGGATAGGACATAATGGAGCCAGTCCCTATTGTCCTGTCCAGGCTCCATCCCTGTGCCCTGCACGTGGGCTCAGCCGCCAGCATCCTGTGCCTCCTTGACCACACCAGGCTGCTCCTGCTGGGGCCAGTGCTCTCCGGTGTCTGGAGGCAGCAGGTCTGAGGCTGTTGTCCAGCTGCCTTGTTTTGTTTTCTTTGTCCATAGCACCAAAGGAGGCACTCCTGGCAGGAGCCCATGCATGATCACAGTGCCTCTGAACTCCATCCCTGCTCCTCCCGCTCCCCTCCTCCATCTCTCGGTCCCTTTCCATGTGCAAAAATCTACCTCCCTGTTCCCTGTGTCTTGTATTTTGCTCTTCAGCTTATTTACAGTTCCTTCTCAGAAGGAGAGACCATGTGATATCTAAGCTGGCTGTCACTTGCATTTCACTTGGCATAATGGTCTCCAAGCACCTGTTTCCTACAGATGACTTGCATGTGTCCTTCTTGGCATTGTAGTGCTCCATGGTGTGTAAACACATTCTTTGTCTGCTCATCTGCTGATGGACAGATACGCAGAACTGTGCATCTTTGAACACGGTGTGCATGGGTCTCTGTAATGTGATATCTTCAACTCTTTGGGGAAGATACCAAGAAGGGGCACATGTGGGTTGAATGGGACCTCCACTTTTAGTTTTGGGACTCTCCACACTGATTTCCCCAGGGGCTGAGTGGGCCACACTCCCAGCGGTGGAGCAGGGCTGCTTTCCCCGCGGCTCACCAGCACGGGTTTCTGGTCGACTTCTTCACAGTGAAAGGAAGCATCCTAGCAGTTCTCGTCTCTGCTGGGCCGTGAGGTTGGACGTGTTTCCTCCAACGGTATAGTCTCCCTGGGATTGCTGTTCCAAGTTTGGACACACGGGTCTAGGGCTGAGGATCCTGTCCTCCACCTCCACGTGAAGGACGCGGGGAAGAGTGCGCATGCGACAGGCCTGGCTGCACTGCAGGGCTGTAGCTGGCGTGGAGGAGAGTGTGCCTGCACCAGGGCTGCACCACCTTGCAGGGCTGCAGCGGGCGTGGGCTTCTTGTTCTTCTGAGCACACTTGGGCGGCACAGGCTGTATTAGAGCAGAGTTTGGGGTGCAGGATAGCACAGAACTGCAGCACTGGCTCCCCTCGAGTGTATCAAAGCCCCGCAGATGCTGTTTCCCAAAACCTGCAGGCCTGAGAACGGTCGACCGCTGGGCAACTGTGCAAAAGTGCGGGTCGCGCAGCTGTGCGGCACTCGGTGCACACACACTGCACACACAGTTCCTCAGCTGGAAACTGAGTCAGGGCTGTCTTGAGTGCCCATGGTAATTTTCTGGCTTTCACGACTGTAACTATGGCTATGCGAGATGGTACTATTGTAGCCAGGCGTGGTGGCGCATGCCAATCATTCTAGCACCCTGGGAGGCTGAGGCAGGAGGATCTGCAAGTTTTGAGCCCAGCCTGATCAATTTAGTGACTTAGTAAAACTCCACCCCAGAACAAAAAACTGTTAAAACATAGTTCAGTGTAAAGACCCTGGGTTCCGGCGCTAATACAGTTCCACACACCCTAAGATAGAAAGCCGAGTGTTCCTGTTCACAAAATAAAAACAAAAGGGTGGGTGTGATGGGAGCCTCTCCAGGACTCTTTGTGGACCTGGGCTCTCACCGAGGGCACCCTGGCTTAAGATGAGTGGGTATCACGTCTAAAACTAGGTCACAGAGCAACCCTGACTTGCAGTCTTTGAGACAAAGAAATGCATCTCCACCCCCCCCCCCAACACACACAACCTGCAGAGAGCACGTGTTGATTGACAGCTGTCCTGGACACCCCTCAGCCGCTGGTGGCAGGTACCTGTCTGGGCCACAGAAGGCTTGCATTCGCTCCATGTTAGACCAATCAGCAATCTTGAATTTAGACCAATCAGCAAGCCCACTGTGGCCCAATCACAGAACTGATGCTACCATATAAGCAGATTTCAGCTGCCCCTCTGGTAGTTAGGTAGGGGAGCTGTTGGCAAAGTGGTTCTGCACCTGTCGGGATGGCTTATCCCAGTGTCCCATGCAGCAATGGGACACCAGGGGCCAGGTGGCGCTCCAGGCTATGTCCCGTATCTCTCACTCCCCTTGGTCCGTCCTATGCGATCTGGCCACGGGCCAGCAGGGTGCCTGGTCCTTGCCAGGTGCAACCACATTCCCTGATCCAGGCCCTTGCCTGGAAACTGGAGTGCAAACCCCCAAACCACCTGTCAGCCCACCTCTGCCACCGCCAGCCTCAGACAGCGTCCTCACAGACCAGGTGTCCTGTGGGCTGTGGCCTCGCCCAGCACCGCACCCAGCAGGGCTGCTTCTGCCACTGCAATCCTTGCCTGCTGTCCAGTGTCTGGAGACTAGCGCTAAGGGGCTTGAAGACAATCACACATCACAGCAGCCTGCGTGCCTCTCTCCTTAGGTGCCAGGGATGGATGGCTTCTGTGCTGAACTAAGCCTCAGCTCTTTCGTTTTTTTGAGCTAGGGTCTTGCTAAGTTGCCTAGACTGGGTTTGAACTCAAGCTCCTCCTACCTCAGCCCCCCAGGGTACTGGAACAGCAGGTGTATGACACCCCGCCTATGCCCTTATGAAATCTTCAGGCAAGAGTAATTTTCAAAAAAGACTACCTTATAAACTAAGAATCAAAAGGAACAAAAGAGTGCAATTGTACTTAAGTTTTCCTCTTTCCCTGTGGTTTTTAAGGCAACACAATCTTTAGAAAGTGTATTCCAGAGAACTGACTGGACTCTGGTTTTAGGGCTGGTGGGGCCCACAGTCATCCTGTTACCCTGGTTATGGCATCTGGAGAGGAAGCTATCCTCCAGGCACTGCTTGGCCTTCCACATTCGCCACTGCCTCTCAGACTGTCTAGGCCTCGACACACCCCACGCCGCTCTCCCACCCTGGGGTCCCAAACCCCTCCTGACGAAAGCTCCTCCAGCCCTCTGAAGGATTTTAGAATGAGCCAGCAGTGGAAATGGGGTTTTATAGCGAGCACTACTCTACTGTAAAGCACAAACTAGAGTCATCGGCCGATGAAGAAGGGCTGCGGGTAAGACCAGAATGGTAAGTGAACTAAACCAGACCTTAGATACTGCATGGTTTACATGAGAAACTCAGTGTAAGCAGAGAGCAAAGTAAGACAGGTTGACAGGAAGTGGGGAGATGCACCTTTTGCAAACAGAAAGGGACCAAGAAATGGAGGAAGGAGAGGTAAGAAGATGCACCATGAGCTTATGCCGACCTAAAAGAAAGGCAAAGTGTGGAAGTGAAGTTGTGAAATAAGACACACAGCCGTGACAATGCGCTTCTTTTATTCACTGGACTCGCCTGGCAGCTCCTGACCTGCGAGGCTGGGCCAGTACCTGGCGCATGTGAGGGGAGCCACGGCAGGCGGGGTTCATGCAGACTGCCCCTCAGAAGGTCCGGAAGAGCTGGTTGGGGAGGTAGCCCAGGTGCAGGAAGGACGTCTGGGCCTCCTTCTCCAGGGCGGCCAGCTCCTGGACAGTAGGGGCCAGGATGTCTACATGGCCTTTGTAGCTTCCACCTGCGTCACACACACAAAGCACAGGGATGAGCCTGGCAGGCTTGTGGGCGACACTTGGCTGGTCCCCACTGCGACACTGCTTCCCCCAAGCATGCGCTGCGGGGCTCACCGACTCCCATAGGCCCCGTCAGTTGTCTCAATGTGAATGGAAGACAAGGCCTCGCCGACACCCCCGCCCCCACCTCCCCTCTTGCAAACTAGCGGCTTATCCTGAATCAAAAATGATAAAGGGCAAATGAGCGGGCAGCGTCCTGGGCTTGGGGACGAAACCAGGCTGCACGTAGCTCTGTGAAAGGCTGCCGCCCCTCACAATTCCAGTCACAGCTCAGGTACTTGTGTGACACAAACACTTGATGGGAAACAGCTACAGTGCTGTCCCTCACCCACTGTGCCCACACAATGGCGGCTGGAGACAGCATGGACTGCGCGCTGTGGCGGACTCTAAGGACAGACTGACACAGGACAGCCCGGGCCCACATCCCCTGAAGCCGAAGCCTACACCCACACCCGGCCGGAAAAGGCTTACCGCCAAGAGCCCTCTTCTGGCCGTAGGTAACCTTCCCATCAAATTCATCCACTGGGACCTTGATGTCGGGCTCCACCTGGGAAATGGTGCAGTTCAGGTGCTCTTCTATCTCTGAGAGCAACTGAAAAGGCAGAAAGTGAACAATCCTCAAACAGAAAGTTCATGTCGACAGAGCTGCACTTTACCAGCATTAGAGGAGACCACGAGCCCCAGAGGCTTGGTGTAGAAGTCAGCCTGCCCAGGATGCCATTTACAAGCCGCAGCTGATGGGACCAACATTCCCCTTCCCCACTCGGACAGCTGGAGAGTCCAGCTTGCCACCTACTGGGCAAGCACAGCCGAGGGCGGCGGCACTGCACTCACCTGCATCTCGTTGTACCAGATGGTACAGCCACCGTCCTCCTTAAGCCTGGTGTTGTAGCAGCCCTTGCCGCGACTGCTGCACACGTGGTACCAGACCTGCAGCGAGTAGAGAAGCGCCCGGGACGGGTAAGGGGGCCGCACACTTGGGGTCTGCTCTCTGCTTCCGGGAAGCTCTCACCCAGTACGGCACCAGGAGAACAGGCTATAAACCTCCTCCCGCCACTACTGCTGAGACGCAGCTCCCTACATGGACCTGCTGAGCTTATGGAGACTAAAAGACTTTCCTAAAACAGATGCAAGCTACAGAAAGGAGTGCTCAGCTAAAGCAAAGATGTGCAAGGCAGTACTAGAGAATGCTACCTCAAGACCTGAATCAAAAAATCAAGTAGAAATGTGCTCCATAAGAAGTTAACAAGCAAACAGGGCAAACAGGTGCACTGGAATACTTTTTTATAAACCTGCCACCATGTTAAAGCAAGTTACTTCACTCCGCACAGCCTTCTGTGGCACCACGCCAGAGCACTTAAACATTTTGTCATGAAAATAATTACATTAAAACCATTAGGAAAAAGCAGTTCGTACGGTTTTTTGGTTTTTTCCCTAAACCTCATCTTATTATTTTCTAGTCAGTAGGTACAGAGAAAAAGATGTCATACAAAGTTCACTTCTATTCCATTTGTAACTGACTCCAATTTAAATGGAAAAAACCAAAGAGCCTTCTAACGTTTGAAATCACAAGCCACACAGTGGTGACAGTAGGACACTGGAAAGATTACCTTTTCTTTTTCTGTCGCCACCAGGGAAATGGCCAGACCCATCCTGGAGGGATGAGAAGTCCTTGTCAGACACTGTTGCCAAGTGAGAAGCCTAAAGGGAAAAGGGCTAAGGGCCATACCTCTCTGCTCTTCCCACGCGGCCGATGCGGTGCACGTAGTTCTGTTTCTCATCAGGCAGGGTCACATTTATAACTAAAGTTAAAAGCAATGTCACCAAGTGCCATTAGTTTCTAAATTTTTAGGATCCATGAGGTAGCTTTACTTAGAGTGTGTAAAATTCACACTGTAGCAGGAAAGTCTTTTTACCGTAAGGAACACCATGAATATCAATCCCTCTAGCAGCGACATCTGTGCAGATCAAGAATCTTACATCTCCTTTCTAAAGAGAACAAAGGGAATGCAGTCTGTTAGGAATGAAAGCAAATATTTACCTTCCCACTATCTGACACTCCCATAACTAAATGCTCCTACCAGATAAGGTTCAGAGACCCATAATTTACTGACCAATTGTGACGTTTTTATGCATATGCATCATGACATTAAAGGTAAATACACCAATGACTGAGTAAGTCTTGTTTTTCTCTTCCTGACATCAAAGCTATTAACCCATGCTTAAACTGGTCTTTAACTTTAGACATTCTCAATCTTTAGAATTATCTTTGGCACTTCAAGAAAAAGGTAAAGGGGCTGGGGATTTAGCTCAGTGGCATAAGCACCTGCCTTGCAAGCAGGCAGTCGTGAGTTTGATCCCCAGTATCGATAAAAAGGAAAAAGACCAAAAAAAAAAAAAAAAAAAAAAAAAAAGAAAAGAAAAAAGAAAAAGGTAAGAAGAACAAAATGCATACACATAACCACTGTCTTTACTCTCAGATTAAAATAAACCTGGCCGGGTGTGGTGGCACCGAAGAGGCTGAGGCAGGAGACTGAAGTGAGTTCAAGGCCAGCCTGGACTACACAGGGAGACTCTGTCTCCAAAAAGGAGAAAATCTAGAATGTAGTTCTTTGAGGTTACATTTCCAGTGACCACAGCTGAAATCTTAGAGGAGGGCTTAAGGAGGGCCACTGGAGCTCCCCAAGAAAATACAAGCAAGGTTTGGGGGTCTTCTGCCCCACAAAAGTAACAGACTGGAGGAGGGGGGGCCAGGCTGCCCGGAGGAAAGCTGAACTGGGCTGACCACGGAGCAGGGGAAGATGCAGGGTCGCGGCGCAGTCACCACCCCTCAGTTCCCAGCAGCTCTGCCTCCCCGGCAAGGCCAAAGCTCAGTGACCCGCATGGCTGCGAGCACAGGTCTGACAGGGCCATCCCCAACAATGCCAAACAACTGCAGTGTACGGAGCACTTCGAGACCACAGTGACGATAAAATCAATCACACACATCAGTTCATTCTCTTACGTGTCAAGCCCAAAGTAGAAACACGGAGGAAAATAAAAGAGAGACAGTAGGAAAAATATCTATCTTTCGTCTACAAGTTAAGTTCTCCATAGATATTACTACAGACTTTTCAAAGCTCACTGGCCAGGCTTATCCATCCAATGGTACTTCTAAAAATCCCTACCAAAAATTTTAAACTTCCTTAAATTCAAAAAAAATTTTTTTTAAGTTTTTTTTTTTTTTTGGTCTTTTTCCTTTTTATCGGTACCGGGGATCGAACTCACGACTGCCTGCTTGCAAGGCAGGCGCTTATGCCGCTGAGCTAAATCCCCAGCCCCCAATTCAAATTCTTAATAGTGTGCTGAGAGAACACGAAACCCAGGATTTGAGTCAAACTTGCCTAATCCCTGCCATGAAGAAGATAGGCCAATCACAACAGGAATATTCTGGAATGTCTAGGTCAAGAGCTGCCTCTGCAGTAGTAACTGGCACTAAGGCTGGAACTGACTCTCCTCTTAGGTCTGAAGGAAGTGCAGACAACTGAGCGTGGGTACCTTGAATCTTTCCAAGTTCTGCTTCCTCTCGTGAGGTTTCCTGTCACCATGAAGACAAACACAGGAGAACTGATGTCCTTTCTTGTCAGGGCCTGGTGAGGAACACACTGCATGTTGGACCTTGGAAAGCAGAATGCCTGAGGCTGTCACAGAGCCAGTGAAATTCAGGCTCTGAGCTACCAGATAATTCAATGAAACCTATACCCCAATTCGCCATCGACTGTAACATCTTTCTGTCACAGGCAAAATGCCATTAAAATAAATTCTGGGGCGCAACAAAATTGCCTTTTAAATTCCTCTTCCCAGTCTGCGGGAAACATGCGCAATAAGTAGACACGCAGATCACTGCATCGCACTGCACACACCGGGAAGCTCCCTTTACACCAAGAATAAAAGATCACTCTCGGAAGAACCACCCAGGCTACAAGCCGTCACCAGGCCTGGTGCCCTTCAGGGGTCTCAGTGACGTGGGGATCCGGCTTTCACAAGAGCGCTCAGGCGCTATTGTAGAGGCCAGTGCAGCAAGGCCAGCCTTAACAGGAAGCACTGCACGCAGCTATACTAACACAGAGCAGGAACACCCAGAGTGAGGCCGGTGGGCTTCCAAAACCCCACAGAACCCGCGCACCACCGGGGGGCAGCCTGGAAGAGCGGTTCCAGTGTGAAACTGCTCTCTGCGGTGAGTCAGGCTCAGCCACATGCCGAGAATCCAAGAAAGCGGTTTTAAAGGTGCTAGCTTACGTAACACAAAAACCAGGTAAGCAGAGGTGAGAAAACAGTGAACAGAACTTCCTGGGGTGCAGAGCTGAGCTCCTCCTGAATCCTGAATTGTTTGTAAGAGCTGACGCTGCTCACAACCTGCCCAGAAGAAACCACCCCGAAGCCCTCACTGTACTGCTAGCGACCCAGCCATGTGTTTACTGGACCTGGGAAAATACTGTTCCTGTGCCATTCCCTGAGAGGAAGGTGTGACGAGGTCCTTATGTGGCGCTGAGTTCCTCTTTGAAGGTGTACACATGTGAGACAGGCAGGAGGGTGTGAGTATGCCCTCCATGATAACAGGCCTCAGCTGTTAACACATGCGTGTGTCGCTGTTTCGTGCAGGTATTTGTCAGCGTTCATGTTTTCAAAGGTGGAGCTGGAAGGTGAAGGGCTGTGCACCGCCCCCAGCTTTCGGCACAGAGACCACCTCACACTTCTTACAGCTGCCTGCCGGCCTCCCGGCCTCCCACCCTCCCACGCCTCCTCTTTGTGTTTTCGGTTCACAGGTAAAGGATCCACGTCAGCGCCCAGCTCCAGCAAGTTTGGGACCTGCTTGGCTCCTCTTCTGGGGCGGAGGCTGCACACGAGGAGCACACACACTTGAGTTCAAGTTTGCTATGCGCTGACAGTCACAGCAAGGTACAGGCCACAGGGATCACCCACAAAGGAGCCCAGTGACCTTTCTGTCCCCTCTCTTCCCACCCCGCTCTGTAGAATAATCGGACTTCTATCTGGGCTAATTAATGTGACCACTCCAGAACCTTCCAGAATCAGATTCCCCACGGTTCTCCTGCCCACCACGCTCCCGAGGTCCCCCAAGGCCACTGTGTCCCTTCGGTCCACACCGAAGAGAACCCCACAGTGCACTGCACTCTTGGCTGTGTCGTTCTCTGTTCATTTTACATGTTCTCAGTTACTATGGAAAAGCTGCTGTGACTGTTCCTGTGCACAGCTTTGCTAACACATATTTTCATTCATAAATCCAGTAAACGTGGGCTGAACTACTAGGCCATAAGACAGCAATGTTTAACTGTGTAACAGACCTTGAAACCAAAACATAACCAAAATGGTTTCATCATGTATTCTTCTCAGTGTGGCAAGAATATTCCAGTTGCTCCACATCCTTGTTAAATTGTGATTTTTACTTTAGTGGGTACAGTGGCATCGTGTCCTGACTTTACTTTGCATTTCCAGAACAACTTCCCCCTGACTCATACACTGAATATTGTAAGACGCACACGGTCAGTCATGACACCCTCACAGCAGACTGTTTCGGCACACCAGTGACCCTCCACGCTGGGCAGTAGTTTGTCTTACCACCCATGGCATCTCTTACTGACACAGCCAGGCCAACTACATTGCTAGATTAATAATCTGTTTGATCCCTTTCCTTTCACTATCTCCCTGTCCTCTGGTTTTAGGAAAGTTCCCTGTAGACATAACACGGCTCAGTGTCACCTGACACAACCCTCTGCCTTCCAGCAGATGGCGCTGTTCCAGGGAAACAGTGTTTACTCACATGTGTACAAGTTTCCCACAGGCCATCTTATTCTGTAATCCCCAACCATCCTCTTCCACTTTTCCCTCAACCTTTCTAGGGGTTTTCCCCTCAGTGTCCCTGTCCCCATTTATTGGTTTAGGACACACAGGTTCTATTAGTTACTGATTACACTTCACATTTTAGCATTAAGGACCTCATACTTCTTACAAACGACGCAAGGCCTCAGCATGCTGCAGGGCAGGCCCAGTCTCTCTATGTGGAGAATTCTCTGCTCTTCCTGGGCCTGATCTCATGCAAAGAACTCGGTGAACACAGACGCTGACAATGTGTCACTTCTGGCAGCATCGTGGGCATGCTGCTGTGAGCACCACAAAGGAGGAAAAGACCCAACATGCACCCCATGAGAAACATTACCTCCTCCCTGCTGCATGAAGTACTGCTCCAAGTTGTCACAGTCGATCTTGGTCCTGCAGAAGATGATTGCTTGATCCATCTTGTGCTCCTTGATGGCCCGGACAGTGTACTCCCCCTTCAGGACTTTGACAGCTTCAGACCACATCTCTGGAACATGAGCACCACAGTGTCAGCGACAACACCCACAGAATCTCCATCTGAGCTTTGTCACCAGCGGAGTCAGTCACACACTTGCTGCCTGACTCCTCTAAGAGTCTGCTTTCAGTGTGACAGACAAGATGCCCAGAGACAGTGACATGGTGGGTAAACGTGTTCACTCATCTCTGTTCTGCCATTTCTTAGGCTACTTTGTGGGGTTCACAAAGACAACCGCACCTCTTGCAAGCAAACGTACCCATTCCTTGGAACATACACTGTGGAGGACAAAAAGGCACAGCCACCCCAGCATCAGCTTTCCTGAGGAGTTGCTATGTTGATTCTTTTAACCTTGCTTAAAAGTAATCTACTAACTCAATCTGAACACCAGGAGATCTACAGAGGATTCCACAGGATAAAAAGCTTAACATGGAACATGGCCAGCAGCTTTCCAGTCGTCCCCTCCCCTCCCCTTCCCTCCCCTCCCCTCCTCTCCCCTCCCCTCCCCATGAGGCTGTTCCACAGCTCCTGACACTACATACAGCCTGACCTCACTCTGGTGTCTGACTGTAGCATAAGCTAAGCAAAACTTTTACAAGGAAAACACAGGAAGCAGTAAAAGCTGCAATGTTAGAAAATGCACTCCCAACAGTGAACAGCAGGTTTTGTCTGTTCTTCTCCCAGAGCAAGCGTGACTGCGCATGCACCGTGTAAACCTAGTTGGACAGGAAACTGAGCTCAAGGGAACACTCTTTGGAGTTCAGCGATCCTCATTCCAGACCCACGTCCCACACTAACCAGCAAGCTCAACCAAGGAGCAAACATAGGCTGACAATGCCCTGGGTCCACGAGGGACATCTAGCCACATGTGCAAAACCCACTGGGCTCAAGAACTGCACTTTTAGTCTTGGCACCGTCCTGGCATCCACTGCACTTTCACCAACTTTTCAAACACTGTGTGCATGAACCAAGCTGCCCTGGCTCTGTGCAGAAGGGGTCATGCTAACTTAACCTTAGGCTTTTTAGAACAGGTAACGTCGAGTGGGTGCAGTTTTGCCATAGGAGCGAGAGACAGCTCTGCAGGTGGATCACGGTAGCGGCCCAATGATGTAAATTTACTTAAGGCCACTGGGACATATGCCAAACAGCTGAACAGCAAAGCTCATGTTATGCACATTTTACCACTAAAACTCATCAGTAAACAAGGCCAGGTCACTGCTGTGCACTTTCGTGGCTGTAATTAAAGGTATTCTCGTCTACCTTTCTTCTGCAGACTGAGGGTCAGTAAAACACCTGCCCCTGGAGGAATGTGCTGGTGTCTTGGGACCCCTGAGCAGCCCCTAGTTTATGACACTTGTGAGACTGAGGCCCACTGATCTCTAGGCTCAGGAATAACCATTCCTATATGCTGAGTGCATCCGTGTTTTCCCCACTTCTTTGTGTTGGTTTTTTTCAAATTTCCTATTCTAGTTTGGCAGGTCCTCTCTCATCCTCTGTGACAGCTGATGGGCATACTCTTAACCCAGCAGGTTCATTCCCAAAGCCCCCAGCACCCTCGCTAGCTGATGGCCCAATGCCCACCTGCACTGTTGGCTCCAGGTCTCGTGTTATCTTTTGCATGGACATCATCAGTCTATCACAGGCATGGGAGAGAAATGTTAAAGAACAATGGGTTATTTTGTAAAGGAGGAATGATAAATTTGTCTTTATATTGCTTTTTAAACGTTTATTTTTAGGCAAAACCATTCTTCAGATTCAGAAAAACCCCCAATATGAACTGTAGGTCTAAGGCAGTAAGTTTTACAAGTAATACTAAAAATGCAAATGTGGTTTCCAGAATGTTGCCTAATTACAGTAATCATTTCCTTATTCCATAGAACTAAGCATAGGCCCAGTGGTTAAACAACAAATGGCCACAAGAAATGGAATCATAGGAGATTGAGGCACAGCACAGGCCCTACTAAGGTATCACCAAAAATAGAAACCATTGCCTTGGAAAGCAGATACATATAACCTTATTCATTTGTAAGAACTGTGCCAAGGATGCTGATGGAAAAATTTTATAGAGAAAAAAATGCCGCATGGAGTTGGGCTTTCCTCCTGTGCCCCGTGGAAGCCAAGTGTGTGCACTTGCTCTGTGGGGGGAGCCTGCGGGCCTGGCCAGCACTCCAGGCCAGGACTCACCCGGATGTGGTTCTTCCCCAGCCGCTCCCAGAGCCTGTCGGTCTTGGGGTTCACGGGGACCACCACATGGTGCACGGTGTCTGGAACAGAATCTTCTCCTTTTAAATCCACCCAGGTGGGAAAATGCATTATCTTCTCAGACAGCTTCTTCACATCGAAAGAATGCAAGGTAGCAGAGCAAACGATCACCTGGGAACAGGAAACCCACATTTGTAAAGGACACTGGCAGGAAAGGAGTGTTAATCAGCGGGCTGGGACAGAGACAGGTCATCCTCAAACTCGGCGGCGGCAGCAGCTCCCCGTGTGCTCTGTCAGTCCCCACACTCCAGGAAACCCATCATCTCTTCCCCGTGTCACACACAGAGATCCCAAATCACAATCCTCTAACCTTTCTCTCAAAGCCTCTCCCTACCTATTGCTTTCTAAGGAAAGAGCAGTATTTCAAGACATAATTACAGGAGGGAACTGTTTTTCAGTGTCTGCAGTTATTTTCCCTTCAAACAGTAAGCAGTACTAACAATCCAGAATATAAATGCCAACCACTCCAATGGGAAGAACTTGATCAGAGCCAATGCCTAAGTGATTTTCTTTTACTTCTAAAAGCAGCTTCTGAGAGTGTTATTTGTATGTATCAGTCTGTAACAAAATGTTTTACAAAGCAGAAATCAGAAGATAATAAATACAAAAAGCCTTGACTCTACATTAATATATAACAACCATCTCTAAGTCTTTTTTTTTTTTTAATCGGTTACCAGGGATCGAACTCACGACTGCCTGCTTGCAAGGCAGGCGTTTATGCCACTGAGCTAAATCCCCAGGCCCTAAGTCTTTTTTTTAGAGAAGAAAAAACAATGCACAAAATCTCCAAATAAGATTGTAGAAGAGTAACTGGTTAATACAGTGCATACTGTTATCTTCAAAGTAGTTGCTCACACTACAAGATACAGACAGGCTGGGGATATAGCTCAACGGCACAATCACTTGCCCGGCAAGCGCAAGGCTGTGAGTTCAAAACCCAGTTCCCCCCCACCAAAAAAGACACATGAAAAACTGATCAAACAATATAGGCACAAACCTTTCTTTCCAATGAACTAATAGTAATTAGTAGTATAACTATCTTAACTATTTTGTGTATGTACTTATTTTTCTTTTTCCCTTCCTTTTCTCCTTTCCCCCATCGCAGTTTCTCTTTCCTTTTAAACAGTTTCTTCTCATTTCACAATATTATACATTTTAAATCTTACTTACTTTTAGCTTTTTACACTAAAGAGACAATACAATGGTTACACATGGAAGTCTGATTTATTTCCCTTATCACAAGTTGCCGATTACAAGTTGCATGCATTTCCCTATAAAAGCCTCCAGTTAAGCCTTCTTTATAGCTGAGTAGTACTGCATTGTATAAAAAGACCACATCTTGGGGGCTGGGGATTTAGCTCAGTGGCACAAGTGCCTGCCTTGCAAGCAGGCAGTCGTGAGTTCAATCCCCCGGTACCGGTAAAAAGGAAAAAGACAAAAAAAAAAAAAAAAAAAAAAAAGACCACATCTTTTTATCCACTTCTTGGTTAATGGGCATTTGGGCTGTTTCCAAGGTCTGGCTATTACAAACTGCGTTGGTATAAACATGGATGCACATACATGGCTGTGGTATGATGTTTTTAATTCTTCTGGGAAAATACCCAGAAGGGCAACTGCCTACAAGTCTTGCAAGCTGTATTAGTCATCATTAGTACCTGGAGTCTTTTTCCATCAGAAGTAATCTGAGGAATCTGGCTGTGCATCCGACTTATAAAGTCAGAATAACCTTGAGAAAGAAGACCATCCTGCAGAAGAAGCAGAGAATAGTGTTTTTAACCAGCATTACTTTAAAACCTTTCTTAGGGCTGGGGTTTAACTTAGGGGTAGAGCACTTGCCTATACGTGCAAGGCCCGGTTTAGTCCCCAGTGCTGAAGGAAAAACACTTCCTTTTTTAAATGAAATTGACATCCAAGATAATAAAACTAATTCATGTATTTCAAAAGGATTATTTTTTAGAGGGTATTAACAGACACAGGTACCAATTCAACTTTTGGGCCCGTTGTAATTAAAACATAAAAAGGTACAATAAACAATCCAAAACCATACTCCAGTGTTCTAGGATTAACACAAGAGTTAATACTTACTAATAAATGCCCTAAGATTAAGAGTAACTTGAAAATTAAAAAACTTCAGTGCTAGGAAACTAGTTCAACCTATCTTGAAAACAATTTGGAAGCCGATCACAAAAGATTCACACACAGTTGTGCCCTATCAAGTCTGCATTTTGTAACCCGACATAAAGAAATAATTTGTAGTAAGAAATAATTCGTATGTGAAAGTAATTTATGTACAAAGTCAACTATTTGGAGGAAAAATCAGACCTATCTACATATCTAGTCAGAGCAGTTGAGTAAGCCAGGAAGCATCCATGTAACAGGTCGTTAGCCTCCAGGTTCACAAATAATGACAAAAAAGTTATGGGATTTTATTTCAATGCTATATCCAGGGGGCACTGGTTCTAGACTCCTGATTCCAAACTCCACCAGGCTCACAGCCCTTACAACGGCAGTATCTGCACCAAGCCGTGCAGGTCCTATCCAAGGTTCCGCATTTCCAGATTCCTTGAAGTGCCCATGCTGTGTGGACGCCAGGTGCTGTGTCATTTAGGGGAAATGACAAGGAGAAGGTCAGGACAGGAAGTGGGATGCACAGCTTAAAGGGCACTCAGTACTCGTGTCGGTACAAAGCAGCATGAACCTAACTGAGCTAGTATCAGTAGGAATCTCCAATCGTGGGACCAGGACCTAGTTACGGTTTTCTTCACTTTACAATGTTTCCCTCAGAAAATATAAGCAAACTTTTCTGAAAGCGTGGCTGTGTTTCAACATACTGCTTCGTCCAGGACCAGGAACCGGACTTGAGACAGGTTCAGCTTTCCAGTTGACACCAAGTCATCCAGCCTTCCCGGAGTTCCTACGACAATATCCACCTGCAAATGGCAGAGGCACTCCATGGGAACTGTGGTGCTGGCTCGGCAACCACTGGCTGTCCACCTAGGACATGCCTCCTACCGGTTAGAAGTCAGTGCTCAACGTATGAAAAAGGACTAGAGATAATGCCATACAGTAAGCCTGTGTTTGGTTTAAATCAACAGGAGATATTTTAGCAATTAGGTTTGGACAACCTTAACTGTTATGCACAGTCTAATAAATACAATTTCTACCAACCAAAAAATCAGATGAGTTTATAGGAATTCTGAACTAAGCCAGGACTCAAATCTGAATCCCACCACTCCTAAGCTATGTGGCCCTGACTTACCACCTATCAATTGTCTGCTCTGTTAAACAGTGTGATAATTCAAACCAGGCACACAGAGCCTGTGTCTAGTGTGCTAAGTGCCCGATATACACAGTTATTACACACTTGATTACTCCTAGAAAAAAAGGACCTACACTGACAAGGGATGACCCAGGACACTCTTTTTTTAAGAATTGGAAGTACTCCCCGGTACCGATAAAAAGATTTAAAAAAAAGAACTGGAAGTACAACTTACCCCGTTTTCCAAAACAGAGAGCTGGTCCCGTGCGGCAACCCCTCCAATTATGAGAAGCTCCCTGAAAGAAAACACCAGACAATGATCACAACACTGACGTCTGTGTTCCAGTTTGGATCTAAAATGTCCTCCAGTGTCTCCTGTGTCTACTGTGTGGAAAGTGATAGGTCATGGGGCACCGTGCTCATGGGTGGATCCACTGCAGAGGAGTTCAGGGTTGACTGTGCTGCGGGAGGCACGGCCTGGTGGGAGACGGTCACTGGGGTGTGACCTGGAAGGATGTGTTCCTGTCCCTACTCCTCTGTGCTCTGTTTTGGTCACCATGATGGGAGCTGCATTTCTCCACCTTCTCCACCTGCAGCAGAGCAGCTGACTGGGCTGACTCCAACAGCCACGGAGTTGTGGGTGCTGGGTATCGTGTCCCAGCAATGTGGGGGTAACCCAGATGGCCTGCTCTACACTGCTGGGTCATCAACCACATCTTTCCAGTGGAAACCAAGGTTAAGTAAATCACTGAGAAAGAATCTGAATTAAGCTGCGGGAAGGCTCGAACAGCTCTTCATTCCCAGCAGCCACGCCAAGCACATCACTAGAAAGTGTAGGAAGTGCCAAACAGAGAAAGCTAGTCCCCCCCCACGCCTTCCACGTCAAGCTAACTCAAAGTCCTCTGACCCTGGCTTCCATCTACTCTGATGGGCACACTTGAATAAGCATCACGTATCTCTGAAAGAGCAGGTGGCAGTCCATTTAAAAGGCCATCTTGCCAGACATGGTGGCACACACCTGTCATCTCAGCACTCGGGAGGCAGAGGCAGGAGGATCATTTTCAGTTCGAGACCAGCCTGGGCTACAACCGGAGCTCAAGGCCAGCCTGAACTGCATAGTGAGACCCTACCTCAAAAGACAAAAAAAAAAAAAAAAAAAAAGGACAGCAAGCCTTCTCCATGACCACGCCTGGGACTTGAAGGAGGACATGAAAGAAAAATCGCTTTTCTCAGAAAGCACTCAGATGTCATCAGACTCTTCCTCACTTCACCAGTGGGTGCTGGGACAAATGGAATCGCACATGAGCAAGACTGAGCGCAACCCCTTTTCAAACCAGGCGCAGAAACTCCCTGCCTGTGAGCCAAGGCTTCCAAACTAAAACTCACAGGAGACTCTGGTTCAGGCAAAGCCCTTCTGAGAAAGACCAAAACCAGCAGCTGAAGAAACAGATAAACAGTAGTTCCAGGAAATCAAGCCCGTCAAAGGACAAGATTTAGAATGGGAGAAAACAGAAGTCACGGAACGGGAAAAAACACTTGAGTTCTCCAGTGAGTCTTCCATGGAAACAGAGCAGTGTGTCCTAGGTAGATTAAGTGATAACACTAATCTGAGACAGAATGAAACACTCCCTTTAAAAATCTAATTGTTATTCAAATGACGTTTAACTTCATGTAAGAGATGCAAGGGAAAAAAAAACACAATTTGATTGTCTTAAAATTACTTAACAAATACAGCTTTGTTTTTTGCTTTTTTGAGAAAGTATCTTGTTAAAGTCATTCAGGCTGGCTTTGCACTCACTACGTAGCCAAAGCTGCCTTCAAACTCAAAATGATCTCCTGCCTCAGCCTCCCGAGTGCTGGGATTACAGGTGTACACTACCACACCTGGTACATAGAATTCCTATCCACTGCAGTTCAGTGAATTTACACACTTACATGTGCGTGTTACATGACTGAATGGCCACCTCATTTTTCAACAGACATCTGAGCACAGAGGAAGATGTACCTTAATTTAGGGTTATCAACGTATTTCTTAAACTGCTTGACATTATTCAAAGTTTGCTCAGCGAGCTCCCGGGAAGGTTCAACGATGAGTGCCTTTGGAGCGTTGGGGAGAAACTTCGTCTGTGTCACCTGTGCATTACCTAGGGTGAGCAAAAAACCAGAACTCATTTAATCACACTGGCAATGGTAAAATGGGAACACAAAGGTTCCAAGATCAAACTGTTAATACTATCAAAAAGGAAGGGGGTAGTCAAACAAAATAAAAGAGTTAGAAATCCTCAAAGGAGATGAAATTCCTCTAAATTAAATCTACTTGGAATAATGCAAGTGATCAGCACATCTGTAAAAATGACTGTTTTGTTTTGGCATATCCTACTAGCTAGGAAACGTAAGTAACTAAACGGGCAACAGGACGGGACAGACTGCCTGCTTCCATGTGAAGCTGCTCGGGTCTTAACCCAGTTCTGCTCTACCGCCCACTGCTCCGACCTCTGGTCGGTCACCCAGGCCCTATTCCTGAGGCTTCCTGTCCACAAGGCGGGAAGAGGCAGCTGTGTGTCACGTTCTCTATGACCTCCATGTGACTGAGACGTGTCCAGTGCCCACCCAGAAACCCAGAGCTTATAAACTAGGCCAGGAGCTGATGGCCCTGCACCACCAGGAAGCCTGCTCCCTGGGGTCTCCCCTTGTCCGTTCCAGAGCCCTACATCCTCCCATGGGACACCTGTGTGCTGTGACTTGACGATGTAACTCTCTGGGGCCTTGCAAAGAGCAACAAATCCATCTTTGGGTGGAAACTTGAAGTCTTCTTCACCAAAGTTAAATTTCAGCTCAGCATTCTAGCATTGAACACAGAAGAAAATGCAAATTCTTGATCTGGCAGCAAACAGCCCAACCCAACCAAAGGATGACCACACACCTCAGGGTGCCAAGCCTCAGAATTACCTTCAGAACACAGGCAGGAAAGAGGGCCTGGTTTTTCATGTGTGCGGGGATTTCAAAGGCCAGCCCCAGGTCTTTTCCTAGTGAAAAGAAAACAGAAGCTGAGACAGCCAGGCAAGGACTGCCACACACACACACACACACACACACACACACACACACACAC